CTCTCTCTCTCTCTCTCTCTCTCTCTCTCTCTCTCTCTCTTCCTCAGCCGCCCACCTACACCCGTCTCGCCCACTCAAGTTAGTGTTGTGCACCCCCTAGGAAGGGGTGCGCCACGGGGGCAAGGCGCTGCTCTCTTTCATCATATCACCCCCCGGTCTCCCCCTTCCCCTTCTCGGCCCTCCATTCTTTCTTTCCCTCATTCTCAACTGAAGTAAAGGTAAAAAGTTCACTAAAAAAAGCCGTGGATGGCCAACCGCAAAGCAAGGCAGGAGGCGAGAGCATAGCCACGCCAACGAGAAAATCTCCACAGAGTAATCGTTTTTTTTTTCTCTCTATATCTGACTTTCTCCCTCCTCTATCTCTTTCTCTCTCTCCTCATCCCCCAGCACCTCAGAAGTTACTTTAGTGGGGCGCGGGGCTCTGCGTTGCCATTCTGAAACGCTGTGGCGCTGTATTGTGTCGGGTGAAAGAGGAAAGTGAGAGTTAAAGAAAGAGAGAGGGAGACCGGAAGTGAAGAAGGGGGAAGCGAATACAAGAGAATTGTCGAATAATGGCATTCTTGGACCAATTCAAATTCTCGACTCGAGCAGAGATGCACAGACACGGAAGTCGCAGAACGACGCGTCGTGGCGCGCACTCCATGACAACTTCCGCTTCCGTTGTGTCTTCAAACAGGTATACCTGTTTATAAGTTTATATAAATTTGCCACAGAAGGGCTAATATTTGACCGTTGTCATTTTATAAAAGGCTTGCGTAAATTCGCAACACACTCAACTATGGTAGATCACGTAGAATTAAAAGGAAACGCGTCACCACACTATAGTTGCTCTGCACACAAAGCAACATCTCCTGCAGTGTGCAAGACTACAGCCCAGCTCAGAGAGGAGGTTGTCGCATTATCGTACGACATTCCCCTTGCTCTTAGTTTATTCGGGCTTGAAACGCGTCCACCACCAGCGACCGCGCGGACGGCCGTGATGGCCCCATATATGAGAAACTGACCCGCCCCTGCGCCCCACAGCAGCGCCGCGCGCCCTTACTTGGGACGCCTCCATCGCCTTCACCCTGCTCGCCCGCACGTACGTACGGTCGCACACACACACACACACACGCACGTACGCGAGGGCGGCACGTAGCCAATGCCCGGCCGACGGCGGCAGCCCGTTCCGTTCGGCCGGCCATTACCGCGCCATCGCCTGATGACTTTGGCAGCGGCTCGGGGGGCGGCGGCTCGGCTCGGCTCGGCTCGGCTCGAGCGCCCGACAGGTACACTCCAAATGTCAAGGAACAATTTTGTCCGTAGATTTGCAACGATTTCGTGCACATCCAGAAAGGATGCAATTTTGTTCCTAAAACTAGACAAATTGTGTGAAACTTCACACAATTTGTCCAATTAAGGGAACAAAATTGCATCCTTTCTGGATGTGCACGAAATCGTTGCAAATCTACGGACAAAATTGTCCCTTGACATTTAGAGTGTAGGCACGCCCGCAGCGCGCGCGCGCCCCGCGGCACGGCCTACCCGTCACGGCGCTCCGGCACCCGAGCGGTGGGGGACGGAGAGAAAGAGACCTGCAAGGAGCGGGCTGCTATGGCCTATGTGCGACCTCGGTGCGACCTGAATGCCTACCTGTATACCTCCACACCCAACTCTCACCTGTCGACGAAGAAGCGCCGCGGGCAGCAGCACGACGGTGGTAGAGAGCAGGGTCACGGGCATGACTAGCACGTTAGTCCGCAACGACCGAAAAGAAATAAATGGCGAGAAGGGGAGGGCGGACGGGGGGGGGGGGAGATGTGAGACGAATGATAGGAGCTGCAGCAGCGGCGGCAGGAAGGGTTCGCTCGAGGAGGGCTCGGCCATATCGGCTGGAGAAAGGGTTAATCCTCCGCTGGCACGAGAGGAGCGAGGAGAAAGAGAGAGTGCGTGTGAGCGGGAGAGAGAGAGAGAGAGAGAGAGAGGGGGGGGGGGGGGAGAGACCAGATTGCCATAAAACAGACACGACGACGTTCCAAGGG